AGTATAAATTCTTCATTCAAAAACGAAAGAAAGTCATCTAGCATTAAAAAAGGAAGAAGCAGAGTATATAATTTGTGTTCACCAAACTGGAACCAAAGGCCATATTCAGACAAATATAAATCATGGTTCTCTGGGCCACTTTTCCCCGCCAATATTGAAATTGTTCTGCAATGCCAGAGTTGTCTTTCTGAATCTAGTTGCTAATACTACTACACCCCCTTCATACTGTGCTTAATATTTAGAAGGGCATGAACACAGAGCCCATTAACAGCAAGTCTCTCCTTTGGGAAGGGGTGGTGCAGGCCAGCTCTCTGCTTCCCTCCTCTCAATAGTCTCCAGTCAAGCTTTCCCCTCTCCTTCTCCTCCTCTCCCTGCTGGTTGGCCCCTCTCTTCACCATTCTGACCCCTCCTATTTCTTTTTATAGATCTCTTTTTATAGAATTTCTTTTTTATAAACAGCATCCTATTTCTTTTCCCTCTCTACTTTGAGCCTAATCTAGCCATCACTTATCCAATGCAGTGTTCCAGATCTGGGGGCAGGAAGATTTGTTCCTTCATTCAACACATTTTTGTTGAGAGCCCACCATGTCCCAGATGCAGAACTCAGCAGTGAATAAAAGAGACAAAATTCTCCACCCTCTGACTCCTAGAGGATAAAAGAAAGCCATTCTTTCAGCTTCATCAAAGGAGAGATATAGATAACAAGCCTTTCTAGTACTAAGATTAGCCACATTTAAGGCATTCATTTCATATGTACAGAGGGTGCCAAAAATATTTGAGGAATTTTTTTAAGAAAGGAAAACTGTATTAAAATTGTAATACTCAATATATACCAATAACAAAAGATGAATACAAGTCAAGTTTGACTTCTGCAATTACAAGAGGTGCTCAAAGTGGTTCTGTCAGCGTCCAGATACTTCTGATTACAGCGAACTACTGCTTGAGCAACGTTGACTAAAGTGTCCACTTGTATACATTTTTGGCACCCCCAGTATATATATGTAAATATATATGTATATATATGTATATGTGATATATATATATCACATATATATAAAGCACATATTGCATATGTGTGTAAATGCATAATTAAGTTTGATAATAAAATAGGTTCATTTTGCGTATGTGTTGTATGTGTGTGTCTGTGCATTGTGTGTAATTATGGAATACATACTCAGGACTAATGCTTTTGTCATTTAATAAATTATATATTTTTTTGCTTTTGTCATCAAACAATATATTTTAATATCCACACACATATATTTATTTCATTCTTTTTAGACTGCTTAGGGAACTTGTCTCTATTGATAGGACATTTAAGGTTGCGTCCAACTTTTGAGTGTTTCAAGCAATGCCACATATTTTGCACATGTCTTGTGTACAGATGTGACTATTTCTGCGGGATAGATTACCAATTGCTAAGTCAAAAGACATGGTTACCTTTTCTACAGAAAAACACCACCTATTGTACGATGTACTTTAGCATCCTGAAAAAGCTCAACTTTTTATGGGGTATGGGAGAAAATTGTTCTCATTTATCCAAGATATAGCTGCACTGCAGAAGTCTCTGTTATCACTTAGCAATGAAGGAAAAGAATGTATAAAACCCAAGAATGATGGGTTGTAAACCTCCAAGGGGTGGGATGAGAAGAAGGATGAGGAAACTGAGACGGGAACTTTTACTCCTATTTTTCCCTTCTAGACCATTTCAGTAGTTTATGACAGGTAGGTATTTATTTCATGTAAAATTCAAATTTTAAAACCCATATGCAAAGAAAACAATATGTTCTCTATATTTTCTCAGTGAAACTATAAGGCTTCATTCATCCCAGAGAAATGACAGGTCTTGTTTGTTTTAAATAAAGTTTAATTAAAGAGTTACTTCTGAAAACTTGAGGGCGATAGGAAAGTGTGTCTGTCTAACTATTCAGCTTTTTAAACAGGCCAAATGGAAAACAACTTTAAATTGCCTCTGAACCTTGATTCTGCTTTCTCTTCAGATCAACAGAACCACTCCAACTTGAGGAGAGTTATGTGGAAAAAAAAAAAGCCAAACACAAGGAATTACTGGGAAATCAAAATTAATTTTGTTAAATTAGTTGAGTAACTTCCTTTCCTGTATCCCCCACCCTGCTTTGGTTCCTTTGGTCCTAATTTACCTCCTGGCCTGATTTTATTTTTGTCTTTCCCACTTTAAGAGGCCTAGAAGCCAATTCATGAATAATGAATAAAAACCTAAAAATTTTTTGTTCCATGGTAGTCTGTGTGATTTAATATTGCATAAAGTACAACTCCTCGAATCATAAGATTCTCAGTTGTAAACTGAATTACCTTTGGTCTGGTTTCCCTGGCTTAGCTGTATACGTCCTGATCCAGCAATTAACATCAAATAATTTTTTACATAATTTCTGTGTTTGTGTGTATGTCTGGAGAGAGAGAGAGAGAAAGGAAAGGAAGGAAGGAGAGGAGGGAGGGAGGATGAGAGAGAGAGAGAGAGAGAGAGAGAGAGAGAGAGAGAGCACAAAAGTTTTGAAGGTGCCGTATTTAAGAAATATTTTTCCATCATGTCCACTGAATGTACATTATATTACTAGAGTATTCACTGATGTGTGACTGTATTTTTTGGGTGTTTAAAGGATACTGAGAAGCAGATCATTTTTCTTCAATAGGAAAGATTGTGAGGATTTCAAAATCCAGGATTAATCCCAAACTAAACTGCTCCACCCTGTGTATTGTGCCCCAGACATTATTTACCTTACATCTCAGCCAGACACCCATGCTCAGAACCAGGTCTTCCTTCACCTTTCAAACACCTCCGCACCCCTACCGTCACACACACTCACTAGGTATTACCCTCAGGGAAGAGTATCAAATCAGTTTTCTAACTTCTCTAAATAAGATGTACAATGAGGTATAACTGGCCTATTTACCTTTTCTCAGGGAAACTTGCCTTTTAAAAACAAACAAACAAACAAAACTAGACACTACTATAGAGCAGTGCCTTAATTCAGGGAACGGAGATTAGGATTTTAGCCAGTATTGCCTGTTCTTGAGAGGGGTGGCACCCTTCTCTCCAAGGCCTACTGTTTCGGTATCTAACACAGACGTTCCTACTTCTCCTGTTTTCTCCTGTTTAACCACCACTGCCTTTAGGAAAACAGATCATCATTTTGATCATCTTGATGTTATTCAGGGCTGTTTTCAGGGCTTTGTGATCTTATTTTTGGCGGCCCTGCATGTATAATATATCAAACAGATTAAAATCCACCCATGTTTCACATTAAATATAATTTGTGCTGCAATTACAAGAGTACAGTTGCACTTGACTAGTTGATGTAATGTTATTTTTTGTAGACACTTAAGAATTTATTAATTTCCATTTTGCAGCCTTCATTTTGTAATTTAGAGCCCATACTAGCTTTTCCAGCTTTCAGTTGTTTTTGTAGACCTTTAAAACTCTCACAGTTCTAATGACTAGTGGATGAAATGTCCCTGATAATGCTAATTTAATAGAGGAGTGTATTTTAAAATTTGTCATGAAATAGAACCATCTGGAATGTTTTGCCTTTTAAATAAACGTGATTTCTTTTAGAGCAACCTACCTTTCTGAATTTTCTATGACTATCCTAAATCTCCAATTTTTGAAAATATAAAGTACTTTTCTTCTTTACATATGATTCTCTCTTTTTTTTCCACATTTTGGTACTTAAGATCTGAAGTTACAGCCCTTCTATTTTAAGGCAATTTCTGTAATTTGCTATTCATCGCCCATGCTCTGAAATATTGATGTTCAGACCCCTACTGGATTGTCCATTTCAAAACTTAGGGCTCCACCTTTAGTTTCTAAACAGATACTCTGTCTCTGGATGTGACACCTCCAACCCCTCAACTGTCGTAGTTCCTGCAGAGACTGTGTGTGTGCAAGCTTCCCCTTTAGGTTTCTCCAGACAGTAATTCTTACACCTAAATCACAGTGCAGCACAATGCCCTGCTTTGGAAAATGATGCATGAATGTAACTCTGGGATGCTCTGAAAAGAAATCTCCAAATCGGGATGCAAACTAGACCTCAACACATGAGCACCCTTGGTTCACAGCGTTCAGAATTTCTCATGTCCTTCAAGATTGGGGAGCATGTTAGTAGTGTCTGCAAACTGTTGAGTTGAGAAACTTTTCCCTGGGGGTTCTTGCAAAACATCCATCTCTCAATGGACAGAGACAAAAAAAAAAAAACGCAGTGCTTTTTCTTCTCTACCTTCTGGTATTTTACTTGTCATCCAGCATGAATACTGCGTTATTCAGCAGAGAGTAAAAAAGTAAAAGCCCCATATCCAGCTAGTTGCTCTCCAGGGAGGGAACATCTGTGTCATGAGTTTTACATCATGTAAAACTCAGTAAAGTTTCAGTGCTTACATTAAGAAAATATGTAATTATATCATTAAACCTAAAGCTTATTTCCTGGTACAATGTTTTGTGGCCTGACTAAAGTATTGTCATTAATTTCAGGGTGGATCAACATGACATGAAGAGGGTATTAAATAAAGCATTTTTTTTTCTATTTCTGTCTTAAGAGTCCTTAAGGCAAACATGAATTGTACCTTTATTCCCAAACACATTGCCTTTTTCAAAGTATTTTACACCTTCGATGTACCTTGGCTTGGGGATGTCTATAGAGTCAGGTTTCTCTTATTTGGGAAACCTGAGTAATACTGCAGTACAAATCTCTGGTCATGCTGTCCACCCTCAGAGGATGCCATGGAATTCACAGTGACAAGAATGTTTTGGAATCCTAGCAAAAAGCAAAAACAGAGTGTCCTCTCCACACATTTAGAAAAATAAAGGTACGGAGGACATGGTGTACTTCTTATTAAAGGCTTTGAAAAACACCACACCTCTGTAAACATTCCTCAGGAGCTGAGGAAACACTCGGTCAATGGCTTACCTCAGCTCTCTCACGTCTGGTTCAGTGAGGTGGACAATAGCACAGACACAATGCCAGCTAGGGAGGAGGGAAGGGCCAGAGACCTGCAGACACACTCTGAACAAGCCCAGGATCCTGCCTCAGGCACGCTGCGTTGTCTTGCCATCCCAAGAGGTATTTGCGATTTGTTGAACACTCATTGCTAGGTAATCAAGTCCTGGTGCTTTCTTCTGCCTGTGAATGAGACGCATAGCAACTTTCTCCTCATTGGCCTTCAGAGGTCTTGATGGGGCTCCCTTCGGAGCCCCATGTAGACTGCTGCCCTGGCACTAATTAATGTCCCTCTCTTCTTAGTGTCATCCTCTGTAACAGTGACCAAAGAGAACCCAATATTTGGCTAATGGTGGGATTGCACATTAACATTCTCTTTTGCCTCCTAAATGTTTCCTGTGAAGTAACCACTGAGAGGGAAAGACCTACTAAGAAGGTTCCCATGCAACTGTGTGATTTACTGCATTTCAGAAAAAGCTGTATGCAAGGGCTTTGTCAAAATTACTTATAAATGATACATGAAAAATAATTAAATAAGGCCTCCACTCTCAACCTTGAGCTGTGAAAAGGGCTTTGTCTTTGGTTGTATCATTGCTTTAGCTTAGCTCTACTGTCTCCTAGGGTGACAATATGAGAAGGAGGGAAGCAGCTTTCATGCTCTGCAGGAAGGTGTGTGAGAGCAGGCAAAGTGAAGACATTATCTGTGGCATATGAAGCATCGTTTGAAGGTTCAGCCATGCTGGAGACTGCTGATAAGCAATAGTAGCATAGACTGACCTTGAAAGTAACAATCCATGATGGGGATGCTAATTTGGAGGAAAGTTACTAGAGCCCCTGAAAGGATAACAGTAAAAAAACCTTAATTTTTTTTTAAAACAATAAAAATTGGCCAAACTAGGCTGAAATTTGTAGTACTTTGGAATTCCAGGCTACAGTTGTACTGCAAAATGTCTAGGGTGTATTGGTAACTATATCTATATCTATATCTATATCTATATCTATATCTATATCTATATCTATATCTATCTATCTAT